CATAAACAAGATACAGCTCCCTCCCTATGGATCTCCCATTATAGCTGGGCTGGTTGACTTACATGAAAAGCATATGTTGAGATATATTTCTTTCAAGACAGGCATGCACAGAGTGCTGTGACAACATTTTAGAGGGAGAATGTATTTCCCTGGGGAAAGAAAGATGGAAGAGATGGAAACTGAGAAAGATTTGAGTAAGTCCTCACAAAGATGAGAATGTAGGTTTGAAGGTCATTCAGACCTGAGGGAAAAACAAAGACAAGGAAGCTTGAAAATGTTTGATGTGATTGGTGGAGACTATCACTGTGTCTGCTGAATATCTTTCCTGAAGCTTGTAGATGAGTCAAAATTGTTACCTCTGAAGGTCATTTGCTTCTCCACACACAACTCTCCTACTTGATCTCTCAGGATCTTCTAGCTCTAAATTTTTATATTTCTGTTTCCCTAACCTCCCAGGATCCTCAAAGTAAAAATTAGTAGATGGCAGACATTCACATATATACAGCTTCTAGTTCCTGTGTTCCCCACACAACAAAGTCATCAAATTCAGAAAATAAAATGGGCAGAAGCTACAAGGGACCCACCGTGATGTTCATTCATTCTGAGCCAAGCTTCCCTGAGGCAAGGGACTACTGGAACTGTGCAAAGTCCCTTGACAGAAATGCCTCTCTTTATTGTTGCTGAGTGAGAGCTGCTATTTTGTTTGAAAAACATACGGTTCAACTAATTTTACCCTGAAATGCATTTAGGCAAATTAATAAACCAGAATCTGAAAATCTCTGCAATCCATTTCACCAAATACCTTTAACAAAAATGTGCACAAGTTTTCCAAAACCCTAAACAAGCAAGGTTTTCCTTCCTGCTATTAATAGAGAAATATCTTATTACAGTTCCGTAAACAGAGCCAAATTGAGAAAATTGCATTTAAATGATGTTAGGGTTTCCAAAAAAACCACAAAGCAAACTCAGAGTTAAGGCGATAATGCATCCCTGTTGTATCTTGGCACAGGAGCAAGCATTTTGCAGTGACCATCTGGGATGTGTAAGATCGTAATAAGGGTGAGGGCACCAACTCACAGAGAAGCCAAGAGGCAACACTTTTTCCTTGCCAACTGTGATATATTACATTATGAAGGTTTTTTTTCCAGGAAACCAGCATTTCAACTTTTACAAGGCATTTAAAGACACCAAACATTTTTCTCACTCCTGTACCCCAAGTGTCTAAAATAATGCCAAGCAAATAGATGCTCAATAAGTATTTATTGATTGAATAAATATTGAAAGTGCCAACTTTTTCTGTGGTAATAAAAATTTGATGATGCTTTCAGATCCTTTTACCTTCCTTTCAAGACACTGAAAAATGTATAATTATTTACCCAAGAACATTTCAGGTGTGTTGGGAGGAGGGGTAATTTACCAAGTACTATTAAACTTATACACCTGAAAATCACTTTGAAAGTCCACTTCTGTTATTGTTACTTCTACTAAAAATGAAAAGTCAAACTCACAAAGTCCATTGAACTGTCTTGACCCTCATACCAAAAGCACAAGTCACAAAAGAAATAGATAAATTGGATCTCTTTAAAATTATAAACTTTGGTGATGCAAAGGAAATCATCAATAAATTATAAGACAGGCCACCCAATGGAAGAAGATATTATGCAAATCATATCTGATGAGACTTGTATCTAGAATATATAAAGAACTCATACCTCAATAATAAAGACAACCCAAAGAAAAATGGGTGAAGGATCTGAATAGATATTCCTCTAAAGGAGATATACAAATGGCCAATGAAGCACAGGAAAAGATGCTCTACATCATCAGGAAAATAATATCGTCAATAAATATGAAAATCAAAACTACAGTGAGATATCATTTCATACCCACTAAGATGGCTAGAATCAACTGTTAGTAAGGACATGGAGAAATCCGAGCCCTTGCACAATGTAGAATTGTAGAATGGTACCACCTTGTAGAGTGGTACCACCACTTTGGAAAACAGTCTGTAATTTCCACAAAACATTATGATAGGACATAGAAATATCATTCCTAAGCATATACCCAAGAGAAATGAAAACATATGTCCACACAAAACTTTTACACCAATGTTTTCAGCAGCATTATTCATAACAGCCAAAAAAAAAGGGGGGGGGGGACAACCAAAAGTCCATCAATTGATAAATGGGTAAATAAAATGTGTTATATACCTAAAATAGAATATTATTCAATGATAAAAAGAAATTAAATACTGATAAATTCTATGATGTGTGGACATTTAAAAACAGTATGCTAAGTGAAGGAAGCCACTTACAAAGAACCGCATATTGTATGATTCCATTTACATGAGATGTCCAGAATAGGTAAATCTAGACAAAAAGTAAATCAGTGATTGCCTAAGATTTTGGGGTAAAGCAGGTTGGAGGGAAAATGGGGTGTGACTGTTAATGGACATGGAGTTTTTTGCAGGGTGCTGAAAATGTTCTAGAATTGATTATGGCAATGGTTGTACAACTCTGACTATACTAAAAACCATTGAATTGTTCACTATAAATAAGTGAATTCCATGGTTTGTGAGTTATATCTCAATAAAGCTGTGATTTAGAAAAAAATGTATTGGACTTAAGTTATTCTATTGACCATATTAATATAATTTAAAACAGGGACATAGAATGTGTATATTCATCCAGCTTTGTATAAACTCAGAGAAATGCAGAGTAATCAATTATTTCATTTTATTGTATCTGAGTTTCAGCATGAATAAAAAAACCTTTCAAAATGACAAACACAAGTGTTTTCTTGATGAAGATTTAAATGAATTTTTGAATGAACTTGGAATTACTCTAGATATTTTACTAGATTCCATACTTATTCCAAAGTAAAATAATTTTATGGTGTGCAATTAAGAGCATCATGGAAACAATTTTTATCAATCTTTTCTCATTCACGAAAGGAAGGAAATATATTAAGTTCAGCTTCCTTTAAATACTAAAATACAATATGTCCGACATATTGTAACTAAACAATGCACAGTTCCATTTAAAAGACAAATTATAAGTAGGCCAATACATTTAAAATAAGCCTTGTGGTGCCCTTGCTAGGTTTCTCAATGGTTAGAGCATCAGCCCATGGACTGAAGGGTCTCAGGTTTGATTCCTGTCTAAGGGCATACCTTGGTTGCAGGCATGTGCGGGAGGTAATCAATGTTTCTCTCTCTGTCTCTCCCCCTCCCTTCCACTCTCTAAAAATCAATGGAAAAAAACATGCTCAGGTGAGGATTAACAAAAAACAAACAAACAAATAAATGTAAATAAATAAAATAAGCCTAGTGGTGTTATATTCTTTGTAAATACATTATATTCCATATTCCAAAAGGTATATTTTTATAAAATTATTTTCCTACTATTAAGCTGAATATTACCTTTATACTAAGGTCATATGAATTTGAAACTGAAATAATAAAGATTTTTCATCCCAGCTACTTCTTTCACACAAAAAAACACCTGAGACCTAAAGTGGCTAAGCTTTTGTCCAAAATCATGATTGAGAAATCCATGGATTGAAACCAAATGTCCTAATTCCCAAGGAAATGATGTTCTCTCTATACAAAAATTCCTTTATTATTTGAAAATCTATCAGCATGTAGATGGAAACTAAGTTTATATATTTGTTAGATGTTTCTATACGTGAATATATATTATTTGTTCATTTATAGCACTAACAATGCTCTTAAGCTTGAGCTCCTAGAAGGCTGCAATCATGTATATCTCACTCTCAGCTTATCTAAGAACCTCTTATAAAGAATGGTAATCAACAAGATTAAAACACAATGTAGTAATAATTTAATAAAATTATTTGATTTCCAGTGGAAGGCTTAAGAAAACCTCCATAAAGATGGGTCCATAAATACCCCAGGAGGAAACCCAGCATGGTTTTATTTGAAATAAAGGATTCTTTACAGACTTATCCAACTAGCGCGTTAAAGGAGCATCCTCCGACTCTACCAAGACTCTTGAAAGAAGCTCATGAAATTATTACTTTAATTGGCTTTATACCCGGTTTGGTTAGAAATCCCTCTTCTTACACCTTCTTTCCCCTATTCAAATCTTCCCAGAATTACCCTATTCCAAATATTACTCTTTTATCCTAATAAAACCTCCAGCTACCTATAAAGCTTCTCTTTATCTATTTCATATTAAAGTGTAAGTTGCTAATAGGTCTAAATATGAGGAGTGATGTCTCCAGAAGAATTCAGTTTTAAAGTGAGGTTCCTTTTGTTCAAAATTGTCCTTAACTAATGTAGTGAGTGTAAATTAATGTAAATAGTGATCCTTTGCTATATCAGCAACTCTGTGCCCCAACCTCCTCTGGGGGCCACTGAAGTCTCCTGACCCCCTACATTCCAGAAATAGGGGTCAGCAACTGGGTGCCCCACTTGTGAAAAGCTGTTGACCTCTGGGAGGGAGCTTGTATGGAAGCAAGTGTTAATTTTCAAAATGTGGCTGGGTGTGATAGCAGCAACCTCACCTCATCACAATGCCCCTTGGAATGTTTTCTCGTCAGAAGGTCTAGAAGTGATCTGTCATCACTGGTCAGTGGTACAAGCAGCTCATTCTTGTATCTTTGCCCTTCTCCCCTGGACCTGAAACAAAACATACCACACTGCCCTCCTCACATTTGAATTTGCATGTGTTCAACCTCTGTCAGGGCTTCACCTTCAGTGGCATGGTCAGAGCACCAAGAAATTATATTTAACACATGAAAAATGAAAAAGGGGAAAAAAAGGTCATTTTCTCCATGCCTTCTAGTGGAAAGCTACAAAATTTGTGTTTGGGGTATGCTATGTGTGTGCTTATTCTTGGAGCAACATTTATAGACATTTTAAATGATTACCCTCTAAAGTCATAAAAGGCTTTAGTAACACACTTTAATATATAATTTCTTAAGCACTTTTAAAAATAAAATACAGATATATAATTATAATTACCAATGCATGTATGTCATTTAATATAATGATAAAAAGACTAGTCATTGAAATGACATGTGATGAATATTTACAGAATAACCAAAGGAAACAGCATTTGTACAATATTGCTAAATAAAAAAAGATTAATAATACTCGTATTAAGGTTTCATTTCAAACCACCAACAGCAAAAAGGAAAATGCTTTCCTTATTAATGCATATGTGTATAGATCATTACTTCCATGTTTTCTGAATATGGAGAAATCTTGTCCTCCTTGAATTATACTAAGCACTGAGGCTGGGATGTACTCATAGGACTTCTCCCAAGTCTTTGTCAATCTATTAATACCATACACAAATAGCTTATATAGATCCACCTATTGGAAATATTTCATGTCCCTTCATGCTAATCTTAAATTTAAAAATCAAAATTAATTTGACGAACTGTTACAGAATGCATGAGGAAACTTATCAATATCTATAAACAGAGTCACAACCTGTGCAAATCCTGTTGAAATAGTAATCCCCAAAACATCTAACAGCTTTTGCTGCTTGAAAGACCATCAAGAGCTACACTCTTTCCCCATCTAAACTAGGGATGAGTTAAAGCAACTCTGTTTAGCACTAAAGGCAATCACACTGCTTTCACTTGGAAAATATATGAACTGCAATGAGTCGATGGACAGACACATTGTTTTAGTTTCTCAACAGACATATGGTAATGTTTCTCACCATGCATTCGTAGCCTTTCCTACTCATCTCATAATGAGCTATTAAGATTACTTGTTCTGAAATTTTAAACCATGAATACATTATTTTAGGAATTTTTAAAAAATGAATGCTGTTTTCATTTTTCCATTTTCAAAGTTAAAAATGATGTGGAGGTTAAAAGTTTTATGGCTCCTTTATCATAATTGGTATCTTCCTCCTTAGTCCTCCAAGAGGGCCTTTATAGTACCAGGCTTTGGCCTTTGCACTACAGCCCCCAAAAGACAGATTGCTGGAGATAACCCCCTGAAATTCCTTACAGTGTTACTTAACACCATAAAGGCCTAGAATCTATCTGTTTTGGGATTCAGACAGAGAGACAAGGTTAAGAAGGGGAGCGGTTTCAATTTGTAGGAGTTACAAGACATAAATAAGTAGCATAAATGCCTTTTTCCTTGCTAATAGACTATGGGTCAGGAATCTCACAGCAAGATGAAGAAAAATATCCTGAATGAAAAACCACACTATAAAAATCTAAGGGATAATTGACAATGTTATTCCTCTTGATTTAAAAAGATAAACATTTCTTATTGGAATCAAAGAATTTGATGTGGATTTGTTTTCTCTTTGCCATTCCACTCATATATCCCTTCCCCAATGAAAACTGGAACTTAAAAATGTTTACAGAACATTCTTTAATGGACTAGTTGGTAAACTAAATAAAATGAGCAAAAATCCAAAATAATGGAAATTTATTCTCTGCAGATGAATAAACACCTCTTATATGCCCAATGGAAAATGGGGAAAAAAAATCACAAGCCTCTCTTCCACCTTCCTTAGGGAAATAATTATTATGGGTTATGGATTTACAGAACCACGGTCATATACTGTCTGTGATAAGCAAACAGGAACACAAAAGCTAATCCTTCACAATTATAAATACTTCAGAACTAACACTAAAACTTCGACTGGCTTTTGCATTTTAGTTTCTCACACTGTGCCCAACAATAACAGAAATCACAAGATTCCGTGTGCTGGTTACTGCTGTTTATCAACACTCAAGTATGAAACGGCCTAGAGCATTTTTTCTGATAAACTATTATAAGTCTTAGCCTGGTTCGTATCATGGCCAAGTTTTAAGTTTGCTGTTTGGTTTTTGAAAGAGTCTGAGAACTCTGGTTAAACATACTACATTTATGTCAATACTCTGTGCAACTGGATGAAGTAGGGAGAAAAACAGAAAGAGGATGTCGTTTTGTAGACTTCAAAACTCCACATGCTATGTACAGTATACATATACACCATAGATAATTACAATCTCACCATGAGAAAGTAAAAAACAAAACAAAACAAAAACTCAGTGAGCATTCATTTTCTATTATATGTACATTTTACAAGCTACTCATAGTTTCTTTCCATATTGCTTTTTTTTTTTTTAAAAAAAAAAGAGAGAAAATGAGGACAGAAAATACATTAGATCAATTCGAATGTATATTAGACTTAAAGGCTTCATCAGACCATATGTGCAGACACTTGAGATGATGACAGAGTTAAACTTCCTAGGGTCCTAGAGTCAAAGAAACTCTGCTGGCCCCCACTGCTCAGCAGGTGCACTCCTTCCACAGGGGGCAACATCTGCCGATCAGTCATGGTCCCACTCGGTGAGGACCCCAAGAAACTTCCTTGGGAAGAAACAATTTTCTCAGGACTGGCAGCCAGTTTGGGAGATGTGGAGAAGTTATATCCATACAAGGCACAGGGGCTGTGTAACCTGAAAGTGTTATAGGAACCCTGATGGGTCTGGTTAGCAGCAAAGGCGTTGCTGGAGGGTGAAGGCATGATGTACTGGAGCTGAGGGGACATCCCCGAAATCTGCATGGACAGGCTGGTCTGTGGGCAGCTGAAGGTGTCCCCATCAGCGCCACCCATCGACATGTTCACAGAGGCGCTGCTGCTCACGCCCACATAGGAGGGAGTCCTGGGCGGGGCGAAGGTGTCGCTGGTCTGGTTGGTGAGCCTATTGTAGGTCTCCGCCAAGGATGTGCTGTATCGGTTGAGGGTGAGGCCTGACCGGGTGCAGGCGGAGTAGTCAGCCGGGGCCAGACTACACAGCTGGCTGGTATTGGGCCCCAGATGGAAGGCAGGAGAGGAGCAAGGGGAACCAGACAAAAGATGAGGATGGGTGGCAGCAACGCCATTCCCAGAACCTTGGAGTAAGGTGGAGGAACTTGTATTTCCTACGAGAGAAGGTGAAATGTAAAGAGCAATAATTCCACAGCCGTCTTTTCTTTTCAATTTTATAAACAAGAGCTAGATACTGACTTTCCCAAGCAATTTTATAACATATAAACTTCATCTTACTATGTATCTTGTTCCAAAAGTGTAACCATTGGCTCTCTTCCATCAAGCTTTTACCTTTTCTTTCAGCAGAGCTTGCTCTGGATCAATATATTTGCTTGCAAGAAAAAGAAGGAATTCAAAGGATAGAGCACATCTTGCCTCAAACACATCTGCAGCTGGCCACTGAAAGTTTGCGTGTGTCAATGACTGTACTACGCAGAACTTTACATTTTTTCATTTCCAACCAGAAACAGGTTGGAGCATCCCATGCTAACACAAGAACAGATGGCCAACAAACAAGTAGTCCTGTGAAATAGAGAGGGTGGCGAGCCCTATGTCCAATCAATAACGGTGATGGTGGCTGAATCCCCTCTCCGGATTTGCTGGAAGATTGGTGTTTGCAAACTTGACAGAACTTAGGGGGAGAGAAGAATTCCAATGGACTGGACAGGTTGTAAAACAGTCATTGCACTAGCAACAGTGTTTTATATAGCTTCTCAAAATAACCGAAAGTCCAATTCAACCAATGATAATTATCTAAAACACAGCAAGCCAAGTTCTCCGTGGGGAGCTGGGCAGGATCAGGAGTAAATAGCCCGAGTGAGGACATGGGCTGAGAGTCCTACCTACCCCAGGCAGAGGAGGAAGTGGCATGGAAGTGTCATTCCTATCCAGGCAACTTCTTCTAGGGAAACACTAGCCTTGAGCTTGGGAGAAATACTCAGGGGTGAGCCCAGGGAAGCCTGCCCCAGTGTGCCTGACTTTCTCATCATAAACGCTGCCTAGAGGCAATTCTGGTGAAGGAAGAAAAGAAAGAGGCTGGCAAGAAAAGTTGAACTACAACCAGCAATGGCACTTTCTCGTGCAGTGCACCTGGCACCAGAGCCCCCTAGTCCACCTCTAATTTTAATAAGAGATTTAAGGTGAGGTGAAGGTCATGAAATGTATAAACAGCCTAAGACATCGAAGGCTTAACCTAAGACCACAACTGCCATTTTTCCTGGTCCATCGCCATACCACACAGAAAGAGTGGGATCCTGTAACGGGAGGATGCTGGTGATGAGGTCGCCGCTGTGAATAATGACTTGCTCATTTCTCAGTTCCTGAGCTTCTAGGCAGGAACTGGCTGTTTATTTGACTGGAAGACTCTGTGATTTACCTTGCTTGGGAATTCCAGGAATATCTTCAAAGGTGAGAGTCCGTAGTGAAGGTCTCCAGAATGCATACGACTCCACAAGGGCTTCCAAACCCATTCTAAATGGAAGGACCGGGAGAGGGATGGACAAAAGAAGCTGCGTTAGGAGCACTGGAGCCTTCCTCAGCAATAAGCAGCTCAGAAAGCAGCGGTGGTGTTGACTTTGGCAAGTGAGAAGCTTGGCACAGGCAGAAAGAAATGCTTCAGAGATGGGCTACCATTCCGTCACTAGGGCACAAGAGGATGACCACCCAAGAAGTCCTGTTAATGTTAGACAACTAAGCCGACCTCGGAGGATAAAAGGCTGTCCCCTTGGGCTAAGTTGAGGTGAAGAATGGCCATCCTAGCTGATGTGACTCCAAGGCTATGCTGTGATCTGGAACCGACCCCCTCTCCCTGTTACATTACTTCCTCTCTCTGGTGAGGAAGTCTCTGCCACAGAGCATGCCCTGTGAAGCCACCTCTTTCCTAACAGACATTTCTGTCCATCATTCGTTGCCTCAGCGGCCAGCTTAGGGGAGCACTCATCCAAAGAAAACTGATTTCTCTCTCAGGGACTTGATCTCCATCACATCTGGGGCGGCCAGGGTGGGCTCTCACTCCAGCAACAGGAGGTCTGAGGGGCAGCACTGGCCTCTCAGCCCAAGATGCAGGAGGATGATAAGAAGGTGGTCTCACAGGGCGGTAGGGAATACAGAGCTAGGATTAGCAGCAAACATTATTTTTAAATTCCTGCATACCCTTAAAGGATGGACACTTAACGAGACAGAACAAATTGATTATGGACTATTTACATGATATATGCATATTTTAAAACAAGGGCAACTACTCTAACTACAGATATATGTGTATGTATCTCCTACCTTAAGTGATTCAGAGTCTTCCCCTCCTTATATCAGATAACTAAGTCCTCTAAGTTCTGGAAATGAGGCCCTTCATTTAACTAGCCCATTCCCAAGACCTCACCACTCTTCCCTCAACCACCTCAGCCCTAAACAATTTATTAATGTAGATAACATTGTACTTTTCATGAAACATATAGCTCCACTGTAGGAAATGGCTGCTTCCTGCATGTCAAACAATACTCAGACATCTCTTGTGATTGTTAGATACAGTTTTATTTAATATACATATGTAATCTGTGTTTAATGTAGATATTAAAGATAGGTCCATCTCTAATAGCTTAGACTCAGTACACTACCTCCTCTGCCTTCCCTGCATTTCTAAGTCAGAAGAAATTATGAAAGACTACCAGTAAAGGACCCTCCCTCCCACCAGACAATAAGAGTGGTAAGTGATGCGTGCAGATAAAATCATCTCGCATCATCTGCCCTTTTCTACTAAGGTTTTGCACATTGAATTTGCTTCTATAGAGCAGCGGTTCTCAACCTGTGGGTCACGACCCCTTTGGGGGTCAAACGACTCTTTCACAGGGATCGCCTAAGACCATCGAAAAACACATATATAATTACATATTGTTTTTGTGATTAATCACTATGCTTTAATTATGTTCAATTTGTAACAATGAAATTGGGGTCACCACAACATGAGGAACTGTATTAAAGGGTCGTGGCATTAGGAAGGTTGAGAACCACTGCTATAGAGTGATCAGGGTACAGACTCATTAATTTGTTGAGTTCTGTCATGACTCCATAAGGAGCATTACTATTTCATCTTAGTGATGGGAGACAGCTATGTGTATGTGCATGGGTGGTGTGGTACATGCACAGGCTTGCATACATGAACCATCCTCATAGGAGACACACATGGACCTGACTCATTTCTGAAATCACAGGTTCAGGGGGATCCTGCTCTGGGAACCCTTCCAAGAGCCATCCAGTGTCACACAGGTGCTAGTACTGGGCACAGAGCGGACCTGCACGGACCTTACCTGGACTGTACTGAGAGAGGAGGGCAGACTCTGGCCCCAGCTGTAATCAGTGTGCCACAGAGAGCAGGGTTAAGGACACTGGATTGAGGGTCAGGAGAATTGAATTGAGACTGAAACACTAAAACTCACCATGTGACCTTAAGCAATTGTTCTAACCTCACTGGATGTCAGCTTCCCACAAAGTGAGGATTAGACTACAAAAGCTTTGAATCCTGTCCTAGCTCTAAAGTTGTTTGCTATTAAGTGATTTTTCGCAAACCAGACATCATATCTGTGGCTGAACCACAAGCCAAATCCAAGACCACTCTGCTGAGTAACATTTTGTATACATTGAAGTATTAATTAGGGGGGAGTTTGGCAGCCTGTATGTAGCCTGCATGTCATTTAATACTGTACTATCAAATGCTAGGTGCTATTTAGCTGATTACTCTATATTTAGCTTATACCAGTGGTCGGCAAACTGCGGCTCGCAAGCCACATGCGGCTCTTTGGCCCCTTGAGTGTGGCTCTTCCACAAAATACCACGTGCGGGTGCGCACGTACAGTGCGATTGAAACTTCGTGGCCCATGCACAGCGGTATTTTGTAGAAGAGCCACACTCAAGGGGCCAAAGAGCCGCATGTGGCTCATGAGCTGCAGTTTGCCGACCACTGGACTAATACTAAATTTGTATGACTTTCTAAAAAAAAGCTTTTTTGAATGTTAGGACACAGTTTTGTATAAAACTGTTTTTTATTACCACATAGATGAGTTTCAGTAATCATAGTTTTAAATATTAAAGATACCAAAGTGGTCATGAAGTGGTCTCAAAGGAGATTAACTAAGAGATAATTAATGAACAGCCACCAGACTTAAAAATTTATTAACTATAGAAATGAGCATTACTGCATTACTTTTGTTAGCAGCGTACACTTTATTATGCTTCAAATACAAATCCATAGACTAAATTCCTGGGGCGGGGGGGGGGGGGGGTTATTGATCATCCCAAACACAGATGCCCTAAGTTTTAAAGAGAGATTCTGAAGGTGACATATCTACAAGTGATCTAATTTGGAGCTATTGATATTTTTCTTGAGGCTGCTGTTTCACACTGCAAGTTCCAGAAAGGATTGGAGATATTTTGCAGGAAACAGTTATAAAATATTTATTAGCTGAATCTGGACATTTTTTTTTAAAAAAAGCCTTCATTTTCTCCAGTAATGGAGACTTTTCCTGTCTAGTTAAAGAAAAGATAAAAGGCACCTCCTGCAGGAGTGTAGCCAAGGCGATAATTTATACAAGATGCCTTTGAACAATTTCCACATTTTATCACCACCCTAATTTATGCTATCAAATGGCCAAGTTTATTTAGTAAAATGGTTATGTTTTTCCTGAAGTATTTAAAGAGAAGAAATTTTTGTACCTTCCTGAGTAAAAAATTTTATAGGGTCAAACCTAAGGCCTAACTGAAGAATGAAACTATTCTCAGCACATAAATTCTCTTTCACGTAGCAAATGTCTTGCAGGAGAGCTTTTAAGGGCTGAAGCTACTGATTCCTATAAAATAGGCTGTACAACCGTAAATAGCCAGGAAGGGATAATTTTTAATTAAAGCAAATTGTTTTATAAAGTTTAAAAAATCACAAGTCCATGTTTATTTCTTATCTTGCTTAATTTGTTTCTTTCATATATAGGGGAAAATAAAAATAGAATTTGCATTAAAATTAATAACAAGAGCAACAGAACCAGGGATAGTAAAGAAATATATTGAACTTTTTTTCATGGGCTTTCTTCTCTAATATATATATAATATCACTCTTCCCTAAAGCCCTCCACACCAATGTACCCTCCAAGTTTTAAATATAATTCAGGTTCTTTTTTTTTTTAAAGGAAAATATTACATAAATTAGAAAGCTTTAAAGCTGATCAAATTCTCTCTTCTCCAGATAAGTGCCTTTTGCATGTATCAATGGAAAATATTAAAATCAAATATTTTTAAATGGGGAATATTGGTTTATAGATATTTAACATTCCAAAATGAGCAATGAAGAGCTTAAGTATGAGAAGCAGAAGAAATAATTTTACTGAGAAGAAAAGTGAAACTATTCATTTCACGACCAAGAAAGCTATGTATAGGCTCAACATGTTTGCCCTATACTAAATTATTGTTTAAACATTTGAAGCAAAATAAAATTTTTAAAGTTTTAGAAAATTTAAAAAGTGTTAACACATAATTCATTATTTTATGTAGATCCATTAAAAACTCTAAAAGTTTTAAAGTCAAGAAAGAAATAGTAGTAAGCACCATGGATACCATGCCTCTATACTCCTGAAACCGCCAAAGGAAAGGAAAGTATCCATCTTAAACCTAGCATTTTTACCTCACCAAACAATAGACTTCGTAGCTGACTTTCACCAAAGCCACTGATTTTTTTCACTGGCCAAATTAAAAAACAAACAAAAAAACCAACCAGATGCCTTTGCATTATGCTGATGTTTATAGAAATCTTTCTGAAAACTTATCATATGCAGCCTATCATCTCACTTCTACTTGTAGGTTTATTCACTATTATTATCTACCCAAACTATGCCTTTGAAAATATTTTTAAATTTACTGCTTCGAAAATGAACCAACAGTGTGGAAGCAGTGTGATCCCCCAGGGTCACAGCAGTGAGGTCTTGCTTAGAGCCTGTCTACTGGAAAATGTGGACACGGTTCCTCCATTCCTCAGTGCTGCCCTCCTGAAGTTTCAGTGAATTTTAATAAATGTATTCTCTGCTTTTAAAAAAATTAATTACAAAACTGAAATATATGCAAGACTCTTAACTGGATAAATGCTATTCAGCTCTAACCAAAACCACAAGAAGATTCCACCAAAGTATTTGTCAAATTAGAAGAGGAGTCTCCCAGAGGCTCCCTTCAGTCACCTCGCCAGTAGCCATCTCCCTTTCTAAACTATTCAACTTTCAGGAACTCCTCTGAAAAGCAAAGTTCACCAGGAGCCAATGTAACATAACAAAAGCCAAGCAAAGTTTTTCTCCACATTGAAACACATCTAAAAACACAGAATAATTTCAATACAGCCATATCGTAGCGTAGGAACACATGCAAATCTTCCCACACAGTGAAGAATTGCAGAGGGAAGCCCTATTATTAGTCTTCTTGATCTACCTGCACCAAGTTAAAGGCTACTCTACAAGTAGTATTTTAGTTGCCTTTTAGTCCTCACATTGCATGGTGCTTAAACAACGCCATTGCATTGAAAGATGAAATCAAGTCTCTGCAAGCACTTGAGTGTATTCTGAGAAAAGGTCTTTACACCTGCCTTGCCCAATTAATCAGCTGAAAGAACTAAAAATCTGGGCTACTACCTGAGTGTTTTCTTTCTACAATTTTAAATGACATTGTCCCTAAAATAAGATAATTGGGGATTTTGACTTCATATAGACACAACCTATCAATACCGTTTTCAAAGAGTAGTAGAATAATTTCTGGAGTAAAGTAATAAAAATTTCTCAAATACCTTTTTAAAAACAAAATGCTTCTAAAAACATTTAACTCAAAGCCTTACCCTGAAAAGGCATCTGGAGAACGTTAGTCTGTTATTACTCTCTACTACTATCAACAGTTATTTTAGAAAACGTTGCACTGAACTGTACTGGAATAAAATCATATCAATAAATTCAAAAGCTCTTGGCACACAGACTAGGGTGATCTGCTTTTTGATAAAAGTAATAGAGTGGAATTCATTATTGTAGCTCTCCCACTTAGTACAAACACCATAAAACACGACACAGAAAAAATAAACAAGTGTGTGGCTGTCAGCAGAGCCAAGACAAATTTGGAAACTAAAGAACATCAGCTCTCTTGGCAATGGGGAGTAGTTTCATATACAAGTTGGAAATCTGAGGGAACAAGAGACCTGCCATATTCCTAAGACAGAATCAATAGATAGTTGTGACATCACTAAGCAAATTTTAAACCAAGAGCAGATGCAGAGAGGATACAGACTTGGATATGGAAGCCCCTGGGCCTGTAAGAGCAGCCTTCCTTAAGGCCCCTTCAGGGGAACATGTGCTATACACGCTGAGAACTTCCATTTTCACCCCGGCATCACACATCAAAGTTCACCTTAAGAATGGGCAGGTCACAACACTACACCCCAAAAATAAGTTATAAACAAGGCCCAATAGTATTAACATACTTAAACCCTCATCAGAAATGGTTTCCTAACCATGTCAGTAAGTTTAACTATTTACTTTGTAATGGAAAGGTAACAATGAAAACAATCAAATATATTTACCACAGCCAGAATGTTCTTCACTAAGACTTACCTGTTACGCCCAGAGTCTCGGAAGCCTTTGGCAAATGGATTCCTATCTATCTTCAAGCGAGTAATCTGCAGAGTGAAGAAAAAAATCACATTGAATCTTATTATAAATGCCAAGTAAGGTTATTAAAAATGGAAATGAGGGAAGAACTACAAGTAATTCCAAAATTAAATGTCAGATGATTCTATTGTGTTCCTCTCTCCTTTCCCATGTATTTTATTATTTTAGCAGCAAAGCTAGAAGAAAATTTCAGAAATCATCCAAATGTTTATCTGCTATGAAAAAGCATTCCCCACCCCTAATTCAAGTGCTGTGAATAAAGTTTGTTTTGCTGTTAATATGCCTAGAAAAGGAGATAACTTGCCCTTTGTTTTCCCATCTCTCTGAACTAAAGTTCTTCCCTTTAACTCTGTGATATAGTTGAGTCCTGCTTCTCTTACAAGGGTAGTGATGGGAAACAGCTCATCTCCAACTTCAATTTAACAGCCATTATGCCTGAATGTTGTTAAGCTCCTGCATATTCTTCTCTCCTTCAGAGTTAGGTAATATACATTCCATTAACTTTTCTGCCTATTTTTCTGTCTCTCCTTGAACCATCTTTATGACTCTCATCTGAAAATCTTACTTGTTCCTCTTTTATCTATGGAGTCCTGAACTCACCAGAGTACTTAACCAGCAGTAACCACTATTTGAAGGTTCTAATGGGATTACGTCTTATGTATGTAGTAGAAATAAATGATGTTTTAATTTTAACTACAGTTCTAACTTGTTGACTCATAACCAGCTTTTTTCCCACTCAGACCCCAAGATTTGGGGGGGGGGCGGTATATTTACAAATAGTCTAATCATCTCCATTAAAAATTTTTTTTTGTTATATCATCTTGCAATTAACACTAGTAAACGGCATCTCATCTATTTCTTTCCAGATCTCCACTTTACCCAGAGGAATTTACAGCCTACTTTCTAAGAAGCACATCATGCTTTGTTTCCTCTGTTCCTTGGTTTAGCAGAATCTACAAAGTTGATGAACATACTTCTGACTGTACCATTTTGGTTGAAGACAAATAAACACTGTTGGATAACACTAAGGCAAAGAAAGGCATCTTTGGAAAGTCACCTTCAATGTCCCTATATAGTCCTGTGTGTTCTCTCAGCCATCCTCCAATCAGCCATGTAACACCTGAGACATATGAGTTCCATATGATAGGCTTTTAGTATGTCGATAAAACTACATTATAAATTACATAATGTAAGGGTTTGCTAATTAATTTATTGTGTCTGCCACTCTCTCATTGAAGGAATTCTTTATAATTCATTATAGCTCAATTCTGTGTTCATTAAATAATGTTTTAAAAACATTAAATAATTTAAATATACATTTAAAACAGTATTTTTTAAAAAGAGTAGAGATTTATATAATGGTACCATGTCTAAACAAAGATCTATAGCACAATTAACATTATCATCATTTTTATTACTGACATCACATCTATTGAGTGCATACCATGTATGCTGTACTGAGTTTTATGCATATTATTATGTTTAATTCCCATAGCAACTCATATGCAGTTATTATCCCAATTTTATGTTTTCTTTTAAACTGAGGCTTAAGTATCCTGTGATCATAAGGTTTCTTGGTGGTAGAACTGGCTGGGACCCCAGACTTTAGAGCCCAAGCTGTTAACCACCAGGCTAGGTTGCTTACCAATTTTCCATAAGTTCTTCAAAATAGCAGCTAGGAAGTTTAAAAATAAACATGATTGTATTTTATCATTATCTATTTCCCTTCTTTTAATTTTTCTACTCTCTTAATCAATTTGTCAGCATTTGTTAAGTGGTGTTAGTCACCAACATGTACCAAGAGCTCACTGTATCTCATTTATTGTATCACAGAGGCTGGGAGAAAACAAACAAACAAAACAACAACAACATTTAACTCAGTTAATTTTTGTGTGTTTGAGAAAGAGACAGTGACAGAGAAAGAAAATGAAATGGAGTTGGGTACTAAATGACTCTGCTCTTCTCTCCACATGCATTATATTTTTTTCCTTTAAAATATTCATTTTCTGCACCTAACATATTTTAAGAATATCTTCCTAATTGTCTCTTGCCCTTCCAAGGGTTAATTTCCTGTTGCTTCCGAAGAGCCTGCAGAAAGGCCTGACAATGTGAGTGTGAGAGGGCAGGGGACCCTCCGCAGTGGGACTGGTGCCTGCACAGGGATGAGAGTGGATGAGCCTCTCAGACTTAAAGGGGGTCACACAGGACGGATCCACATCTCCTCAGAAGCTTTAAAACAACAGAAACCACAACAGAGAGATTATAAAGCCTTAAACTTTTAACTGAGATGTATAGAAATTGAAAGAGAAACGGAGATCTAAAATAGTTCTGCTGACAACTGACATTCTTTTTAAAAATGTACCACACACCACATTAGCCTCAACTACATCCCTATTTCTTATAAAAACTGACCAGAACTGCATGGATTAAATAATTGGCTTGATTGAATTCTCCACCTACTTAATACAGCCTTAAAAATACATGTATGCTTACCCAAACAGACAAGAAATATTTCATTTATCAATTTATTCCCAAATTTAGGAAAGGACTACTCCACAATTGCTGATCTCTCAGACTATAAACATATGCATCACCTTCTATCACAATTAAAGTGCATCTTGAAAGAAACCGCCCTTTTTGTAAATATCCCCAAATAACTAAAAAGGATAAATGCTTCTGAAATATTTCTCATTATACATAGGTTGCAGTTTTAAAATAAGGTGAACTACCAAATCCCATGCTCTATGATACAATTCACTTTTCATATTCCACATGTCTATTTCCTAGACAATACACACACTTTCTAAGTTTACTATGACATCATGATTCAATATCTCAAAATGGAAAGTAAGCCTACACTGTCAGTCTTGAGACACATTCTTGTCTGAAAAAAATCCTCAGTAGACTAGTCTTACTTGAGGAATCATGAATAAATAATTTTTACTACGATAAATATACCCTGAACATCATCTACGACAAATGCTTTCTGGCAATTCATAATGTTTAGATACAGTAAAAGGATAGCTAGCTTTCTATTTACAACTGAAATGAAAGCCTAGAAAGATACCAATTCTTAGAACAATACCTGCTGATTCTGATAGGCCGTGACGGTGGTGAAGACAGTTTCGGGAAAGGAGAAGGCTTTCACTCCCTCCCCAGAAGGCACAGGCTTGATGGGAGAAAGGTCATCTCCACAGTCTTTACGGATGACGTGGACGCGTGGTTGGTATTTGTGCATAGAATGAAGAATAATCTATGTCAAGGAAAGAAAAGCCAAATTCATCAGGAACTTCTGCCCAATCTCAACACCATGACTAAATATTTAATATGTAAATTAAATCACAGTTGGAAATTAAAATTTCCAAGGATGCAGAAAGGCCAATTTAATAAAGTATATCAAAATTGGAGAAGGAGAGCTAGGAAGTTATCTGTTAAATGTGCATAAAAATACAAAAAAAATGATTATTTAGGTGAACCTCGGTGTGTTTAACATCAAATTTTCTGTTTCTAAAAATACAAAAATAAATTCGTAAGTATTTTACTTATAATGAGCCAAATTGGAACACAGAGTCGAAACCAATAAAACTAAAAGTGAGATTGAAATGATTATTTAAATTCCACCACACCCATCCCCTAAAAAAATAAATATCTCACACCAGGGTTTTCTTCAGAGAACATTCTTCCCCCATTAATGACTGCATCATGTCTATTCAAGGGCAAAGGGAACTTTAAGGATACCCCAAGGTCTGCCTTATGTGTGGTTCACGAAGTCTCTGGTTTGTCTAGAGAGCCCAGTGTCCATGCCTCCATCACAACAAGGCTTTCAAAACCCCAGACACTGGGGGATAGGAAAACTGGTGCTCTCAGACTCCGCTGGGGGAATCTGATAATATGCTCCAACTACCTTCTACCCAGGGATTCCACTTATGAGAATTTATCCTAAGGAAATATTCAAAATCCAGAAAAGCATTTCATGTACAAAGATGTGCAATGCGCCCTTTACAACAGTGGAAAAACTATAAAGCACTCTCATAAGTAGATTGGTTAGGTTAATGAAAGACAACACAACTGGATATGGTACTATTCAGCCATTACTAATGCAGTTTAGGACATTTTAAACCACATAATAAAATGTTTCCTTTTAAATATTACACGATAAAAAAGGACCCAAGTTGTTTATAAACTAATCAAAACTATATAAAAATAGACAGTAAAAAGGACCCATACCAAGATATGAACAGTGATCATCTCCGAATGATGGGTTTATGGGTGAATTTTTTTTCTTCTTCTTCTTTATATGCTTGCTTTCAAGGTTGAGGAAGTGGGGTAAAGAAATAGCCTCACCCAAGAGGATTTTCTATTTGCTGCTGGGGCTCCATATTCATGAACAGGTTTAGTTAACAAGCCTCTATCTTTCCTAAGCTATACAATTTGAATTCAGGTTTGGGGGTGTTGGAGTTTGGAGAGGAAATGCTTACACAAAAGTCTTGGAAAAATACAGTGGTTGACCTACCTCGTGGTTTTCAGGATTCAAGCAGTTTAATAAGCCAAACTCAGAAGCTTTGGTCAGCCCAAACATGAAGAGCCCTCTACTGGGACAGTGCATTGCTGCCACAAGAGGATGTCTTTATACTCTGGTGGTAACCAACACAGTGGTGAGGTTTTTTTTGTTTTGTGTTTTTACCCTAAAATTTCCTTTCTATTAGGGGAGGAAATGTGTGGATGACAGACATGCCTAAGGGGGAGGCAGCATAAGTATGAGGAAAGGAGAAGAAGGGATGGCAGCCCTCAACATCACCTGGGGATACTCTGCACCCTCTTTCCAAGTCTAACAAAAGACAGTTTTCAGTAACCCATTAGGGGCCCACAAAAGCAATTTTCTACCAAAAATGTTTAAAATAAATGAAATTATAAAATAAAGCAGCAAACAGAGTGTGCTACTTGTAGTAAGGGTAAGTATTGTTTTGCAAAACATTGTTTTCTGTGTGCACGTGGTTGTACCATAAAATGTATGTCTGACTATGAGTCAAGTGAAGATCTGAAAAACACAGAAGCGAGATTTAATTCTAATGATCAGCAACTTCCAGAGCAGAAGAAAAACTGGAGAAAGCTAGTTCACATAAAAAAAAACTAATTAAGTGCATAACTAATTTCAGAAGACTACAGTGAACTGACTTGAAATGAAGGAAATGAAAACTGATTTGAGTTTCTGTTTACCAGTCAATGAAAAGAAGGTTCCTGTTTTATGAAGTATTTGTTCTCTCAAGAAGATTTCTCCACATAGCTATCTACATTTTAACTTTATTTGTCTATATCCTTATCCTCAGTCATCAAAATGACTTAAGGTGAGGTATACTGAGGTAGGATACAGAAATAGCTGATCTATGCCTATGTTTGCACATTAAAGGACAACTGCCAATAAAAATCTCAAGATTAATTAAGCAAAATAATTTTCAATATTCTCTATAGGAATTTAATATATCCCTGGAAAATTTTAGGGAATGCTCAACAAGCCTCAGTTCTTCTTTATAACATAGCATTATTTGATCTTTAATGAACTATCAAACTTATAATGATGAGCAGTCAATAACAGTTTGCTTATTTAATAGAACAAGTAGAGCAAGGAGAACCACTGGCCTCATAAACAAGGAGACCACAATGATAATGCCCATCACCGAAACTCAAATAATTACATCTGATCTGCATATTCCATGCTCTCTGATCTATTTAGCTGGAGGATTTCTTTTCTTTTTGGCATTACGTAGTAGTACAGATATCTCGTGGGCCTATCTCCATAATACAGAGTGCAGCTTTTCAGGTTCATACACATTTTTTTTTTCCATTTTAAACACACTAGGCTTGAGTCAAACGAAGCATGATATTACTTATTTCTGATCTGACGGGACAAAAAATGCCTGTGGTTTGACAGACACGCCAAGCTGTACCTTATAAAACAGCTCAATAGGGAAACACTACCTGCTGACTCTGGAAATTTTCTAAATGACCTAAATTCAGTGTTGATACAAGTCAAGCAAAGTACCAATGAAGAGAGATAACAAAAACCTGGCTCCCTGTATTTTTGGTGATACCAAGTAATGGCTCACTTTAAATGGTAGGGGTCAACGCAGTAACCTCAAGTTGCCAGCTCCACAGCAAGGCGACCTTGGTTTTGTTTCAGGCATGAAGCTGTATATAAAGCACTCCTTAGAAATATGTACTTTCAAGTGAACCAGCTTCATTTGATTCACTCAAAATTCTCTGGTTCCAACATAACCCATGAGGAAACTAAGCCTCAGAGAGCCAAAGTGACTTGCCCACTAACATGAACGCGTTGGACCGCTAAGCTGTTACAAGTTCTTGCCATCAAGATCTTAGAAATCTCCCCTGTAATACCTTGCTTCCCCACTGCATTTTCAAGCAGGAATGAGAAGATTATGAGGGCAAACTTAGAGGTAGGGTTCCTCTATATCATTGAATCCCCAGCAGCTGGAAAACAGACCCTTTCACAGGTACCCTGGCTGTGGCTGCCTGGCCATACTTCCTGCCAAAGCAGGGAGGTACACCTGTTAAATGTCTTCTAATGAGGTTAAAGGTACAACTGTTAAGTGTCTTCTAATTCTTCAGGAAAATGCTCATCTAAATGTTTCCCTCTAGAGCAGTGATGGTGAACCTATGACACGCGTGTCAGAGGTGACACGTGAACTCATTTTTTTGGTTGATTTTTCTTTGTTAAATGGCTTTTAAATATATAAAATAAATATCAAAAATATAAGTCTTTGTTTTACTATGGTTGCAAATATCAAAAAATTTCTATATGTGACACGGCACCAGAGTTAAGTTAGGGTTTTTTAAAATGCTGACACGCCGAGCTCAAAAGTTGGCCATCACTGCTCTAGAGAGCAAATTCCAGGAGAATAGGGAAACATGCACATGATGAGAAGGAAATAACCCCACCCAAGCACGCTAAACATCTGCACCTCGGTAGATCAGTCTTGGTTTGTATACAATCCAACATAAAGCCGGCTACAGATTCCCTGAAGAGCAAGTAGGGATTATAAAGTCTTTACAACATTCAAAGACTAGCTGTGGAGCAGTGGGACATTTCCACTCTAGATTCTTAATGTTCCTCTCTAAACAATTGGAAAAATGAAAAGTCACTTTGGGGAAAACCACAATGACACCTAATCTCAGATCACAGGTAAAACCTAGATCCAGTCACAGCCCTGTGAGAATTTGATTCCTACAATCACTATGGTTTTACTAAAAGTTTCAGGTCTACATGAAGTTCTCACTGTATTGAACACTTGTACATCTTTAGTATAGTAAAACTGGGAACTGGGAGGACAGAAAACAATTTAGGGGGGAAAAAAAAGCCAAATTAGAAAATCACTTCTCATTTGAGTCTTTAGCTAGATTAGTTAGAGATTAGTATCACTTCCTTACAACTGGGGGTGGGGGACCACAACCATACAAGGGCAGAGAGGGGAGTCCCTGAGAGCTCTCTGCAGGAGGACAGGAACTTCTGAATTAGAAAGCCCTACCATAATGATGCCACTGTCTTCCCAGACCTGAATCACATCAACAGAAGAATAAGAAACAAATTCCTAGTCTCTAACCTAAACTAATTTGGGGCCATTAAACTGAGTAAATAAACTCAACAGACACTCTCTTCAGGAAGCCTCCTCAGTCTCTCCTGGTGGGTATAAGAATGCATCTGAGCTTCTCTGAGCTGACAGCATGATTATTTGTGTGTGGGTCTTCTCTCCCCATCTAGACTCCAAGACCATGGCTTCTTATCTAACACTAGTGGCCCAGTGCATGGATTCGTGCACATAGAAAGGAAAATAATTAGAAGAAATATTGTAATATCACTATTCGCCCTTTCTCTATAATAGAAGTGTCAACCAAAGTCGCGATCAACAATGACAGATTGAAACACAAGCATGTGATTGGCACCAGAGAGAGCTTTATATGTATTGTGCATGTGCGTGTCAACTTAGCCTTTTATATATATAGAATAAACTTGCTTAATTAGATCTGCTTTCTGATTTAGCTAAACTTTTTCCAGCCCAGTGAAGCACCCCAACTTCTCTTTCAGGTAATTGTCAGCAACACAGCAGTAAATATCAACACAAAGCAGATTATTATTGTAGATCA